ACCAGACCTTGGACCAATTGCAATTGTGTAACGTGTAATGAATTGCAACCCATGGTAATTGTAATTTCGGTTAAAGCTGCTTGTAATTAGAATTACTGCACTAAACACTGTAACTGAGCACAGATCTATCATGTACTTCATATGAACACTATACAGTACAGTACTGAAATTGCATTGAAGGCGCCCTCTCGTGCTAAGTAGGGTAATTGAAGCCTGCTCTGTCAAGTTCATTGCACACGGCACATTGTTTTACTGCAAACGCTCTTGCGTAATAAACTCAAAAGCAATAACAAATTGCTGCTTTATCGGAGATTGCTACACTGACAGTTGCTTTCAATAGCTTCTATAATTTGCTCTCGACAAAGGGAAAAAGGATAATTCCACAGATAAATCCTTTCCAGCCAGTGGTATTACAAGCTTGGAAAGACCAGCGCGTACTGTGTACATTCCGTAAAGTGTGTATTTTTCCTACAAAGCAACATTTGCCGAAACATTATCACCATTGCAGAATTCATGTTTTTAACTGCCTTTATTTTAAACGAGTTACTAAAATTGACTCTCAACACAACAACCCAACTGCAAGTCGTTCAAGTCAGCTGATTTCGGGTAAAGCTATAAGGAGCTCGTTTTTTTCAATGGCGAATTGAATTGGTATAACTTAACTCCTCTTGCAGTAATTTTTTTTAATGGAATGACGATGAACTAACCATACGAAAAAATGCTTGCTTACAAATAATCATCAATTACTGGGACGGGGAAAGAAAAAAAAGGTCTTGGTCTCACTGAAAATACTAAAGTATAATAAACCCAATATAGATTTGAAGTTTTCGTGACTGCAAGGATCCCAGTTATTATCGTAGGCCAGTAATAACAATGTCTGAGGACCTTAAATGGAAACGTACTGCATTAAGGTAAATAAAAGCACAGCATTCAAATCCAAGCGATAAAAGCAACATGAGAGCACAAATAGTAACACACACGTGCATAGAGGTAATATTCTGCACAGAACAGTGCTATACATTGCATATCTGGACAAGTCTGGAAGAAAACATTCGATACTGCATGGCAATATTAATGTGCTTCATAAACAGATTTGTTACATACTGCATTTTAATAAGTAAATGTCTTAAAAACTAATTTTACTCGTAATTAATTTCTTATAAAGCCTGGAATAAGAGGGACCTGTGACATCAGGAAATATAGGTAAGTATACTAATTGAGAACATTTGATTTATTTCTTTGTTTACAAACTATGGCACCGTGAGATAAAATAAAAGCCTAAACTGTAGAGGAAGATCTTCTTCACGTAAATGTAAGTAAAACGATTCAAAGGTCAATATACTGTATGGACTTGATGTTGTCCTCGAATGCTCTACAATCTCTGGTGATCTAATGATATAATATTGAAAAAAAATGTAAATTATGGATTTCAGGCAATACTCAAAGCAGGTATAATTTTGAACCGATAGAATTTCCTAATTTCAAGCCTGCTTGGTGTCCATTGTAGACCATTAATTGCCAGTATTTGTGCTACTTTGAAAATCGTGAATTTCTTCTCATCAGTATATTTTCCTCTTAAATATGAATATCAATTTTATTAATACATTCATGATGGCCAAAATGTTAAGCTATTCTTCTATCTGCATTATATTATTATAATTGCCCTTGCCAACATAATATATATCCTTGTTTCTTTCGGTAAAGTCACGTAGAACGGAAACAATAAAATAATAAAAATATAAAACAATAAAATTCTCACGACGTTTCGACTGCAACACAAGCAATCATCATCAGGTGTGAAAACCGCAGCAAGAAAATTTGAAAAAAGTAGCGATTATTTTACGTTAGCACCACGGAGAGCGATTTGTCAGTTATTCAGGTGGACGAGTCCATCTATGTTCGGAAAAGAGGAGGGGGGAGACGAAAATAATGGATGCTGTCTGAAAGCCACCGTAAGCATAAACAATCAATTAAGACCCGAAATGGTTTATCAAATCCTTCCAATGATTGCTAATCGAGAATCCATTTTCTCGGTTGAAATTGTCTGTGTTTGTATATGTGGATAGCCTCATGAACGAATCTTTCATGGTAGCCGTGGTGCTAACGTTAAAAAAAACCGTCACTTTTTCACATTTTCTTGCTGTGGTTTTCACACCTGATGATGATTGCTTGTGTTGCAGTCGAAACGTCGTGATAATTTTATTGTTTTATATTTTTATTATTGTATTGTTTCCCTTCTACGTGACTTTACCGAAAGAACTAAGAATATGAATCCCTGCAGTCACGAAAGCTTTAAATCAAAATATATATCATTGAAATTTTCCTTGGCTTTTGAGCTCCTGTATCTTAATATTTAAATAAAGCATAGTATACAATACTAAAAATGGTGCCGATGGGTCGTGTTAAACCGATATTGTACGCAACCATTTGCAATAAATTGTGCAATGTGCTTTGCCAGTGTACTCTTTTACTCTGTACAATACTAAACTGCATTTCCCTTTAGGGAAGGGCCTTGGTGCATTGTCTGGGAAAACAGGGATTCCTGAGATAAAATGATGCATTCAAATAGAAAAAATTGCACATACTGTCCTGAAGAAAACTTACTGATGAAAGGCCCATTTATTGCACAAGGGCATGCTTTGCATTGTAAATGTGTAACTAAAATTAATTAAATGCTACACATTCATAAAACTGCACAAACTCTTCGCTTGTATGTCCTTAGCTTAATGGATTTACATGATTTTAGCAGGAGGGGTCTGCATGGAATTTTTGACCAATTCCCCACTGAGTATTTTTTTGCATGTCAGAGAAATACAGAGTACCCAGAAAAGCAATGTTTACAATGGGAAAACACCTAAAAATCCAAATCGACATTCAACCCACTGTGATGCCATCCACTGGTTTACCTGCTGGCCTGCAGGTGAGTATCTGCCAAATTATGATTGTATGATTTACCAACCCTGGCTCCAAAGTAATAGGTAAGCATTAACATGCTTGGCAGGTGGACAACCATTGCGATTCATACGATGATGGAAGCCTGGTTGATAGCTCCATGAAGAGGAGAAAGTTTTGATGTATGGGCATGGAGTCGAATCGAGAAAATCAGTTGGGTAAAGAAAGCATAAGAGGGAAGGTCTCGACGAGGTTACGGAGGGGAAATGTCCCATGTGATTAATCCAGAAAAAGCGAAATGTGTGGATTGGACATTCTCAAAGGTGAAAGCTTGATGGACGAAGTTCTGGAAAGATTTTGATTTCTGGAAAGATGTTGAGGCCAATATCATAAGACCTCCTTTGCCAGTATTAAATTATAATAGGCTTTTTTTCCCCTTTCTGGCAATAAAACAGGTCTTAAGATGTTAAAACACCAAACTGAAACCTTTGCCAGGAATCATGTCTGCATTAACCACATATACATGCGGTGAAAATGCACATACTGTCAGAGCATGTTTTTTTTGTTTGCATTTTCACCACGTGTATATGTGGTTAATGCAGGCATGATTCCTTGCAAAGGTTTCAGTTTGGTGTTTTAACATCTTAACACCTGTTTTATTACCAGAAAGGGGAAAAACCCTATTATCATGTTGAGGCCAAGTAGATTAAAACTAAAATGCTGCTTGACGACTTCATTTTTACATAGTGTAAAATTAAGGCTGCTCAAGATCGTACAGAATAGAGATAGTTTGAGCTAAAGACCTGCCATTGGGCACTAAACTAAAGAAGAACACGTGTCCCTCTATCCATTAGTTACACCAAGATGGACTGACCCAGCATGCCTAAATAAAATTCTGCCAACATGTCTATTAAACCCAGCGTGTTTATTCGAATGTTTAAAAAAAATAATCATTTCTAAACTTCATTTGTAACGTGCACTTCTCTGTATCGAATACAGTACTGTTCATCTTCATGTATGAGACTCGATTCCTTGTGTTGGCGTGATGTATGAAATTTAAAAAAAAATCTGCGTTAAACGAACAATGGGGTCAACGGTGGGAATTTGAGCGCGAGAACAGTGGATGTGCCCGTATATCTACAGATCTACAAGGTCGACCGCCACATGACCAACACTGCCTGGTGGTGGAACTCACCATGGTTTCTGGCAGAAAACTGCTGCCAGGCCAGAGCCAGGTCGACACAAAGGCCTACACAACTGTTGGGGAGTCCTTATTAGCACATGTTAAGGTCTTGATGACAAAAAAAAAGCTGGTGGCATGTCCATCCATCGCACAAATCCACCTACCTCCATTCCCCCAGTGGCTGATGTATATGACCACACACTGCAGAAGGTACTCATTTATGTTTTGATTTGACCTTGGGGAGGCCCATTGGAGGCTAGAAAAGGCAACTTGGCACCTGGTTATGAATGTTCAGTCGTTTGCCAACGTATACCTCCGTGTTTAAAGGGTTAGCATGTTACACAGTGGCGAGTTCAGGTAGTACATCTGCCAAGTCACCTTCGCCTTAACACCTGTATCTGCAACAAACCCCCACAGGGGTGGTGGTGGGGGTTGCTTTCACAATTTCAACGTGGCATCATTTGCAAGTAGGTGCACCTAGACTGTCAGAAAAAAACAACAACATAGTAGGCAAAACCACCGAACCAAATCGCGGCCGCTGTTCCAGCTTTCTTCACATGGCCAGATATCAAACGCATCCGAGGTTGCGGCCACCAGACGCCAGAGGAATCGGAACAAGTGTGCCAGGACGGGACACACCAGAGCTAGGAAGACACAAACAAGCACGACTTCGAAAAACAAGCGATCTGTGCCGGCCTAGATGCACCGGCGATCTCCACCAAGGGACCCCGAGACTTTTGAGAGACGGCTGTCACAAAACGCTCCCGGCGCCTCTCGATGCTCTCTCGCTGTGCCAACAACAACAAACAACGGGCACGCAAGCAACATCGTCGGGACACACACGGTTGAGACTTCAGCGAAAGAGCCAAAGCAAAGAGTAACACCGGGGAGACGAACGTCGACACACCGACCGGACTTGACTGACCTCCAGAGTCCGCATCTCCTTCTGCGTGAGGTCGTTGCTGGTGGCACACTTGGTCCTGAGGCCCTCGAGGCTCGCGAGGCTGATCTCAATCATGTTCTGCAGCAGCTCGCATTGCTCCAAGGCGGCTGCGGCGCTGCCTCCTCCTCCTTCTTCTTCCATTGCGCTACGGGTCTAACCCTCCTCCTCCTCGCCGCTTCCTTCTCTTATCCTCGTCGTCTTCACCGGTGACGACGGGCGGCCGGTGTTAAGATACGAGGCAAGGGCAGGGAGATAGATAAATAAAGACCACCCCACCACCAAAGCATCCGGACCCGCTGCTCTTGTCTCCCTGCCTCTCACACTGTATCTGTATCGAGATGGGGGGGGGGGGAAAGAAACCGGCTGGAAAAAAATGAGAGAATAAAACGAATTGCAATTTGCAAAATGATTTTTTTTTTGGGGGGGAGAGTTATTTGCTCTAACCCTTATTGATGGTGATTCGTGTAACCTGGGGTTCCACGTTGGTTAGATATTTTTTTTGCTGTTATATATTTCTACCAGGCTAGCCGCAATAACAATAGACAACAATGAGAATTGCAAATGGATTATAAATAGCAGTCACCACGTCAGAGGTGGAAAATAAAAAATAAAGTATATGATTGAAACGAGAATTTGTATTGGTGGGGAATAGATAACAAAAATTGTAACAATATAAATTATTATTACTATATTTATGAGCTATATTGTATATACCATAAATTAGATCCAGGTAATTATATTTAATGTATACTATGACTGTTTACTGTAATGGGTATATCCATGATTGCATTTTAAATAGAGCTATTATGTATTAAGAATATAATTACCAATATATCACTATTTAAAATTTATACGACTGCCACTCTATTCGGAATGTTATTAGTATCTGTATTAATATTTAGTAATACTATATGTATTACGTACTAATTAATTTACTGTTTATTTTATCATTGATTTCGCTGTATTAAAAAAAAACTATACAATATTTTACTGCATTTTACATCGGCTGCCCTCCCGTTAAAAAATACACATCAGCTATCATTTAGTCAAATAAAATAAGTTAATTCGTCACAATTAGTGGTGCTAATCCCTCGTTAATTTAACACTTTAATTGTAATCAGCACATTATCATTATTAGCGCATTAATCCCTACAATAGCCCCTGCACTGTATTACGACCATCACAATATTTACCAATACCACTGCACTAACATCACAACCACCACCACCACCAACCACCGTTGCTATTGTTGCTGCTCCCTATGTATTATTCTTACTCCCCTAGCTGCCGCTCCTGTATTCTTGTTTCTATTGTTGTTATTATTATTGGTATTAGCGACCGTGCCCTCCATCGCTCAGAAGACGCATGCTCGCTGCTCCAGTCGGGCACTCGGTCGCATGCAGCAAGGCCGGGCTGCAGCCACAGCCCCGGGCCGCTGACATGGCCGAGTGGCGGCGGCAGCAGCAGCGGCACCCGCAGCAGCAGCAGCCGCACGCCCCGCCCACCTTGCCTAACCACGCCTCCCCGACTCCTCTAACCACGCCCACTCCGCCAGGCAACCACACGCACGTCCCCGCCCACTCAGCAGCCACAGCAACAGGAGCCGCACCGCCCCCCCCCCTCTCTCCCCCCTCCCCAAACTCTTCCCCCCACCCCCCCGAAACTCTCTCCCCACCCAACTCCCCCCCCCCCAATATCTCCCACCCCCTAACTCCCCTCCAACCCCCAACTACCTTCCCCCCACCCCCCAACTTTCCCCCCCCCCACTCCTAACTCCCCCGTCCACACCTTAGCTCCGCCCACGTATCTAATAGGCGCGAAACGCCCCGCCCCCTATCAACCCCCCCCGCTTTAACTCCGCCCACGTGCCCAGCAGCAGCAGCCTGGCTAGCTCCACCCCCACCAAGCAGTCGCATCCCCCCCCACCCACCCTCAATGCCCCCACGCACTCAGCCCACTCCGGTCAAACCCGGTTTCATACTTCCTAGTCCGCATTGGTGTGTGTTTGGGGGCAGGGGGGGAGTATAATAGGGGGCGGGTGCGTTGGAAGCGGGTGGGGGGGAAGGCGTGGCGTCAGCAATCAGGCGCTTGGACCAATCGGGTCGCGCGCTGTTGGCTCGCGCGCTGAGCTGGTGGGGAGTGAGCGGGCCCGCACGTGACCGCGGGGGCGCTGTGACGCGCACGCCCCTCCCCCTCGACCTACACCGCCCCCTTCCCAACCCACCCCCTTCCCCTTATCAACCCACCCCCGGCCGCTTATCCGCTCTGCGAAATCTACCGCAGGCGAGATCTCGCGAGGTTTCCAAGCCGGCTTTGCGCATTGGTTTTGCTGTTGTGTTCTCGCGAGATTTGGGCAAGGTCTCGCCTTGTGGCCGTTTTGTGTGCGAAACGAAAATTAGAAAAAACTCAATACCCAGGGCACGACGCTCCGTCACTATATGGACATGCGTTGTTCCCTTTCTTACGTGTTCGTAAACGAACGCCACTCCAGATGTGTCGTCCACCCCATTGCAGGCCACGTTCCTTTTAACGGAATTGTGATAGCCTTTGTTCATCATCAGCCATGGTTAAGTCTACTGCGTAACAATGACTTTACTAATTTCACATGTTCTATTCCTTACCACCAGTTAACCGGTTCCATCTTTCTCCTGAAATCGCAAGCCATTTTGCTGTATTGTACAGTCATGAATTGGGCTGCGATGGCAGTGCACCAAAATGTTGTACTGCACTTCTGTGCTCCCCTAAGACATGCCCCACACCCACCCACCCACCACCACTTAACCAGCGTGGTGAAGTATGGTCACTGACCCCTACGACCCGTGCGGTGTGGAGAGGCCCTCATCCAGCAGTGGATTCACAAGCACCTGTCGTTACCGAATTGACGTGGGTGGCTTCGCCTGCGTTGTCAGACTTGGCTGCATTATGCAACAATGACATCTAACTTACATTACCGTAATACATCGAAGTAAATGCCTCAGGCCTACTTCAAAATCTGTAAATTTAAGGCAAACAAGGCAGAAATTCGCCGTACAGGTCTCATTGCTTGAATTGGCGAAACGTCCCCTTTTGAAACTATTAACTATCCTTGACAATATTGTATTAGCTCACTATTGTCTGATTGGGCTTCCAAAATTATGCGGATTGTACGGCGATTCAACACTTTGCACAGCGTACATCCAACGGTACGATTCTCTGGGATTCAGGGTTCATAAGGTTCGCTGCACAATGGCTGGAGAAAATGTGCTTTTGATCCCTCGTGTTTGTCATAATAAACATAATATCCACTTCTGTGTGAAGGAAGGCCTCTCCCATACGATGGCACAGTCCATCTCAATCCTGCACACGAGCTGATCCCACTGCTCTATCTCTGGTAGAGATCTTCTGGAGGGTGTTTATCCATTGGCTGCCGTTATGTAAACAGTTTGGTCCATCTCACATCATCTCTTCCAGCCTCCAATGTGCGTGTGTCATCTGATGTCATCTTTCAGTCTCTCAGTGTACCGAAGTCCCAGACATCTTCTCATGCTTCTTTGAATACGTTTCAGCCTTTGTTCCGTTGCCTTTGTTTGTGTCCATGTTTCTGAACTTGATTTGGAGCTTTCGTGACTGCAGGGATTACTTTTTGGTTCTTTCGGTAAAAGGGCCGTCCATAAATGACGTCACGCACCGAGGGGGGGGGTCAGACATTTGTGACGAGGGGGGGGGAGGTTTGAGAAATGTGACGTCACATCAAAATGCACAACTTTAAATAAATGTTAAGTAGAATTGTTATAACAACAATACTTTTTTTAAAATTAATTTTCATGATTAACTATTTGATTATTTAAATTTACTAAGGTCACCTTTTATTTATTCCATGAAGGAGCATTTTGCTTCTCCATGGGAGAATGGAGAAGCATAAATTTAGTATTTTTTTTTAATGATTGTTATTAAACATTTTGATTCTAATGATTCTACCAGGGCTTTTCATTCTGTGGAATGAATATGTGATTGTTATAATTGTACTCTCCATTTTGCTTCGTTCTACTACAAAGTTTCAAGTGTTTTTTATAGTTATAATTACTTTTTATATTTTATAATTATAAGAGAATTTCAATATAATATTCTGAACATCTGCAGTTTTAGTTAGACGTTGAAAATTTTCGAGTAAATTTTATGCTAAATTTTAGATTTCCAACGCCTCCTTTTTAATACGTGTTTTCTCCTACAACATCAGAGTGCAGCGCCACATTAAATACGCACTACAATGACAATAGTTTAAAGCGATTTGAAGCATGTTTTATTTTCACAATGGAAATATTGGCAGAGCTTTGTGACGTCATATTGGAGGGGGGTCTGACTTTTTGTGACGCCGTGTGACGAGGGGGGGAGGGGGGGGTCAAAAATCGGCCAAAATCGCGTGACGTCATTTATGGACGCCATGTTTCTGCTTTAAAATTTTCTTCAGACGAGTGTTCCAAAACCACTCCATCCTGATAGTTGCATTTTCATTATTTTAATCCCAATCTGATTTCAGTAATTACCCTAGGTATACAAATGGTCTGCTGTTTTGCAGCTGTGTCCGAATAACATTTTGGGTTATATGATTTGTTGTACATTTGTTTTGCTAATTTATCTTGAGCCCTTTCCTAAATTATTAAAGAATTTCCTATCGCTCAACACCATTGGTTGTTTTGTTTACTTTGCCATAAAAAAAATCCGAGATAGTTTATGATTTGCCAATTTATATTTATGCCTTTATTTCTACAATATTTTTTTTTAAGATATCTTCAAAGTCACTCTAAGAGGTTTGGTGACAGTATGTCCCCTTGTCTAAATGGGAGTAGTTGTACAGTCTCAATGTAGCACCTCTTCATGGTTTATAACGGTTATCTAGATTGTATATTTGTATTCATGTATGGGAACGTGGATGACTGCATGAGTTTCCACTGAAACACTTTTTTTGCAATCTCCAAAGCCAAACCTGAAATTAATTTGTCTTCTAGGATCTGATTCACAGTATGTGGTTAATGAATTTAAAAAAAAAAAACCTTTCCTTTATCCAACTTGTTCACACAGTGGGTTGGCCTCCTAATGGTCCAAGATGCAGTTCCCTAAGATATTTGTGAACAATTTAAAATTGTATTGGAGGCTAATCAGTCTACCTTTTCAAATCAGTTTTCCTTTGTAAATGCAGGACTTTAGCATTCCAGGATTGAGGGTTTGTTTTTATTTCTGCATAAACATTTTTGTTTAAATAGTTGGTCTCTATTCTTTGATAATGTCACACTTATTCCATCTGGTCCAGGGGCTTTACCTTTTGCACACTATGAAGGGCAGTGTTTTTTGGTTTGGCGCATGAGATATAATGTTTGCTATATAAATTGTTTAATGTTACATTAATGTTTCATCTTGCTCCCAAGGCTCCCAAGGCTACCAGCTGCGATTTACCAATCATCAATGTTGTGTTTGTGCTGCTTTCTTGCTGCAATTGTTTATGGCATCTTGCATCACTTTCATGTTGTGTTTTATTATTTATCTTCTAATTTTTTAAACGGGTTTACAGTGTTGTGTGTTCTAGTTTTTTGTTTGACATTTAAACCTTTTTTTACATTTTCCTTACGCTTTTTTTTCCAGATAACTTGTTCTGATTGGTTGTTACATCCCCACACTTTCAATGTTTAGTCCATTACAATGCTATTTATTAAATATCTGTAGTGGCCACGTTAATTATCTTGGCTTTTCTACGAAATGTAACCTTTGCCTTAGAATCAGTCGAAGTTGTATTTGCTACCACTTCTGGTGTTGAATTTGATGAGGGCGGAGATAACTCGGACGTTTTGGGGTAGTGAGAATTAAGTCAATTTAATTTCTAATGCACTCTCTCCATTTTGACGTGTACATAACCGACACTTATTTTTCGTTTTTCTTTCAAAACGCAAACTTTACCCGTCATTCTCTCATCTCTGCTCCTTTTACCTACCTTTGCATCGAAGTCTAGAATTTTGATGGTGTCGTGTCCTTTGCCATAATTTAATGTTCTAATATATTTGGTGTAAGTCTGGTTTTCAGGGTTTGGGCAGCAGCTGCGTGTGGAGCGTTCCGGTTGTCCGTCGCACGTGCTGTGGCGCACTTAGAAACTTGGGACAAGAAAGAGAAGCGATGCTCATTACACAAACGCGCCGAGATTGTAAGTGGCTGTAAAAAGTTACATGCTTTAACATTTGGTCTGCTTTTTACATCATCATGGATCCAGGGTTGGAATATGCATTTGTATCCATTTGAGAGCTTGAATGTTATCTGGGCAATTATATTTGAAGTACTGCGCTCATTGATCCTAAAACACAAATGTTTAATTCCCAGAGAAACCAAGAGTCCCACTCCTCCCATTAAAAAATACTAAGAATCCCACTCCTCTGTAATTACTGTCAACTCTCCGTCCACATTGGAAAATAGTGCCACTTCTTCTTCTTCTTCTTTGGTATGGCATTGTTGGGGATTGCAACAGATTTACAAATTGATGTCGAGATTTGATA